CATTCTATGATTCTGTGATTCTAATGAGAACAGTTATCAACAACTTTAAACGTAGATAATGGTCATTTTCTGGTTTTGTGACCATCTAAGTAATTTCATACAGTGAGGATTTCTACTATGGGCTCTGTCCATATACCTGCTTTTTCAGGTTGTCAACCATCTTCTGTACAGCCACTTTCTCCTTTCTCACAGCCTCTATCTTTTGCCTAAGGGAAAAAAGACAGTTCATTAACATTAGTTAATATACATGTCAACAAGAATGGGCTGGGTTTTGACATCACCAGAAACTATAATTCTGGATATTTATTTCTTGCTTAGCAAGTGCTCGATTCCGCAAGGCACCCCATATAGTTCTTCTCCCAAAGGGAAGGCTACTCAGGGGAACATAGATGGTTATCTACTTGCAAAAGCCCAAATCACTGCAATGCTCTGTCACACCGTACCTCTTCCTGCCTTGTCTAAGGCTACACCAGCACAGCAAGCTCTGCCTTTGCTGCTGCAAGAATTGCATCCCGTCAGCTTGTAAGCAGGTCCCGTGTCTGTATGTTCCTGGGGCATCTGAACTTGTTCAGTGAAGCCCCTGCTTTGGCTCTAGCAATGGGCAGGACAAGCTGGGGCAAGTGAAAAGGGCGAGGAATAGACTATCAACCAGCTGGATTTCCAATGGCGCCATGGAACGGGCCCATTTCAACTTCTGCAGAACATCTAATAGACGAAGGAGCTTTGCGAGACGGGACGTAACCATCGTGCCTGCGCCGCAGCGCGAGCCCGAAGGCACGCGGGCGATACGTGCCCCGTTGGATTCTCACCGCAATTCTTCTCGGGATCCATTGAGCTCCCTCAGTTTCAGGCTGGAAGCGCTACCTTCCTCGTTCAATAAAGTCACTTCATTCTTCAGAATGGCATTTTCTTCTCTGAGCTTCTCGGCTTCACATCTGTGGCAGAGACAAGAGACAAGTGAAAACTGGTTCTATATATTGTCAAGGCCCACACAGAGAAAAATTATCATAAAAATACCTGCAGTATTTCAAAACAAGTCTACAATTCACTTATTTTACATACAAACGGTACACGGATTTTACATTTCATCCAGTAAGAGTGCTTCCCAGATCACTGAAAAAGGGGCTCCTTGTGCCTGTTTCTGTACAGCTACGGTTAGTTAAATATTTAAGACACCTAGTAGAAGTTTCTCACTAACACCATAGAACACCTTGCAGTCCTTCAGTTACAAATAACTTTAAACAGCTCGACACCACAATATGCAGACTGCTAGGAGAGCAAACTGTTTCCCCAGCTCTTTCTAGAGTCCAGCACGCTGGGAAGAGCAGCCCTGGAAAGGGCCTTTTCTGTCCCGAGGTGACTGTAGGGTTTTTTTTTTGGTGTAATACCTGAAACAACAATTTCCTGCAGGAAGCCGGTGCTGAACCATAATTAAGCTGCTTGTAGCCACTTTATGGCCTCCAAAAAATCAACCTTGCTGAAACGCAGCAGTTATCAACAAGTAGGTAAGGTATTGTGTTCTCTGTGTTATAACAGTATTTACCACATGACACCCCTGATGGATTCCTAACCCCAAGTGCTCCTGCTGGGGAAAAAAAAAGTTATCCTAATTCTCTAGTATTAACTTAAATATTGAGAAAAATAGAAGCATTTCTAACATTCCAAGTAACATTCAGTGCTAGAAGGGAGCAAACAGGGTGATGAGGTGATATTAGTAAGAGCTAAAAGCATTCTGGAAGTGCTACCATAGTATTTTGGACATAAAAATAGAGGTTTCTGATGTGCCATCAGCTACACACCATGAAGGCGACTACATCCAAAGCCAGAACAGCCGGCAGTTCGCTCCTGTTTTACCACTCACGTTACGTCACGGTCAGAGAGGAGTTAAGTCACACACAGTTACTTCAACCCTCGTTATCCACGACTGAACAGCCTGCTTGCTAGTAGTTAGGGTCCAAGGCACCGTTTTCTACCCCCAGTTAAACTACAGTGGTTAATGCAGCAGCCAGGCAGCAGCAGGCGGGCGGCTACGGAGCGGCGAGTGGGGCACGAGGTTAGTTTCTAAGCGGCACGTTGGATTCCGGCGGGGCCGGCACGCTCCCCACCGACTGTTTGCACGCGTACGTTACCTCAGAAGATCGACTTTTTGCTGCAGCTCGGCGCACGTGCTTTGCAAGCCGTGCGGCACCGCGTGCCTCTCCGTTCTCCCTTCGTGGAGATGCACGTCGTTTGGCTTAACCCCAGAAGCAGCTTTCTCCTTCCGCTTTCCGCTGGGCTCCTGCGGCTCCCTCTCTTCCAGCGTTTCTCGCGCCGTGCTGTCGCTTTGGGAGTGCTCGTCTTGCTGACCCGCAAACACGCCGGCGTGCTCTTCCAGCTTCCCAAGCTGGCATCGTTGCCTGAACTGGTCACTGTGGGCAGCTACACTTCCTGGTGCGTCTTGTTCTTGGGCATCTCCCAATTCTTTAACTTTTTGGAGGAGCTGTGTGTTTTCCTCTCTGAGCTCAATACTCTCCCGTTTACCTCCTTCCAGTTTGCCGTGAAGGCTTCTCAGCTCTCGCAGGCTGTCTTCTAGCACTTTGTTTTTTTCAACTAACTCTATCACTTCACATTTCAGATCCTCATTTTCTACCTGCATTTCTTCTTGCAGTGACAGGAGATTAGCCTGTGCCATCGATCTGTCCTCTAACTCCTTGAGCCTTTTCCAAAGCCGAGCTATTACGCTTTTCAGGTCACCATTTGCTGACCCAGGAGCATGATCGAGCCGGAGAGAGGCTTCACTCAATTCTTCAGCCTTCTCAAGCTCAACCTGCAGCTTCAAAGCATCAGACACCAACCCTTTGTTTTGGAGAGTCACTCTGTGATTCAGCAGGTGAACCTTCTGCTGTTTGATGTCATTGTGCAGCATTTTTGGTCTGGGAATTCTCTCCAGAGTTTTCTCAAGATCTCTCTTTGTTCGCAGCAGAGAAAGCAACTCTTGATTCTTGTCACAATCCTGATGGCCGTCAGCTCCCAGTGCTGCTTTACTTCTTTGCCTCGGACACATGTGCGCCTCGAGCGCGTGGCCGCCCGCTCCAACTTTAACACACGCGTCCTCCAAACCTGGACCAACCTCAGACCTTTCTTCCAGGTCGGTGGTCTCAGACTCCGAAAGCGGAAGGACTTCTGAATCTGTCCCCGTGTCTGCATCTTTACCATCGCTGGGCAACCCTTCAGAATCGGGATCCGTTTTATCCGGCAGCAGAGATCGGTCTGAGCCGGAGTCGGAGTAGCCGGGACTGTGAGGTCGCGTGGGCTCCCGCTCGGAACCTCGCAACCGGTGCTGCAGACGGATGATCTCCGCAGCCATTCTGACATTCTCCTTCACGGCTTGCTCGTGCACTTTCTGCAGGTTTAAGAGGACGTCCACATCATCTCCCAGAGGCATCAGGCTGGGGAGAGAAGCAATTTTGCTCTTTGCTTTGGCATACTCATTCTCCAGGACCCTGTAGTGATTCTGTAGTGCGGAAAAACTACAAGCCTCCCACTGCAATTCCTGTATTTTCCCTTGAAGGTTGGAGATCTCCAAACTCATCTCGGCCTCTGCTGTTTCTGCTCTTACACAAATGTCTTTGTTCAAACTCTCCAGAGCAAGAAGTTTGGAATTGAGGTCGTCTTTCTCTCTCTTATATTCACTGTCAAGTCTCTCCAGCTTTTGCCTAACCAACTTCCCATTTTCCTCCGCCACGGATATTCGTTCCTCTTTGTTCTTCAGCTCTCTCTCATGGTCGTTTTGGAGTCGTGTTATTTTCTCATTCAGCTTTTCCTCTTGCTTCTCAGCAGCATTCCTCAGGTCTCGCAGCTCCTTCTGAAGCTGCTCTCTCTCGCTCACAAGCTTGTTCACCTCTTCCTTGAAGTTCTTCTCCAGGAGATCTTTCTCCCGGGTCAGGGCAGAGGAAACGGCCTTTTCATTTGCCAGACTTTGCTTCAGTTGCTCGTGAGCTTCGGCAACCTCCTGAGCCATTTCATCCTTTTCAAACTCCCACTGAGATTTCTCCTCTCTCTGCTGTTCGGCAAGTTCACGCAACTCTCGCTGGTAACGTCCTTCCAGATTTTGGATCGTTTCTTCGTATTTATTCACAAGAGTTTGTGTGTGGAAACGGCCTTTTCATTTGCCAGACTTTGCTTCAGTTGCTCGTGAGCTTCGGCAACCTCCTGAGCCATTTCATCCTTTTCAAACTCCCACTGAGATTTCTCCTCTCTCTGCTGTTCGGCAAGTTCACGCAACTCTCGCTGGTAACGTCCTTCCAGATTTTGGATCGTTTCTTCGTATTTATTCACAAGAGTTTGTGTGTCGACAGAAAACTGAGTTTCTGCATGCGACTGCTCTTCCGTTATAGTCACTTTCCATTTTTTTCCTAAACATGGTTAACATAATATATTACTAAACTCTGGGCTAACTCAGAGATTCAAATGGCTTTTTAGGCCGAATAAAACAGGCTGAAAAAATTACTGTTTCACTGAGTTTCAGATGAAGCACTGTTTGGTGGGTGTTTGGGAGCCAAAGTTAGATCTGAGGCAAATTGTTGGAACTTGAAAACTAAAAATCTGATCGCCTTGGACAAGTACAACTCACGAAACATCCTCAGGAAAGGCTTCAGGTACAAGACATGCCCTTCTAGTCTTGCCATCAGATCTGTGGGGGCAGATGTTCTTACCCCCGTCTCTCCCTCTCACCCCAGGACAATTTCAGTTTGTTCTGACGCTCCATCCTGCCTAAAAAGCATTTACCAGCCGTCCCTTTACTTCAGGAAACAAGAGCTCTGAGAACTCAAATGCTTTACAAGTACAAAGCACAAAGGATTTATAAAACAGAGGCATCCTGACCGGAGCTCAAATTAATCACGTCTGGTTATGCTTTAACATTGCTGTTGCCTCCGGGTGAGCTAAAAATCAATAGAAACCTCTGCTTGAGAAAGGTCAGAAGAAAATGCCCCTGGAGAGCAGCTCGGAGTCTGGAATACAACACGTAGCAGCGCCGTACGCTTGGGTTGAGCATCGGGAGTCGTGTCTGCACGCGGCTCCCCGTGGTCACCACGCCAAGCCCTCAGGGCCAGCACCTGCTGCTGCTGTCCCCGCCAGCGGTGACACTCACCTCTCCTCCTCCAGGTCCTGCTCGTGCTTCCTCCGCAGCTCTTGCTGGAGCTCTTCCTTCTCCAGGGCGTGCACCTCCGCCAGCCTCTTCAACTCCTCCCGAAAGCCCTGTTCCAGCTCTCCCTTCTCTTCCTGCAGCGTCTGCACCAAAACTCTCATCTTCTCTTCCACCCAGATGCCGTTTTGAATCAGTTCTTCCCGCTCTTGACTAAACTTCTCGTTGACCTGCTCCAGTCTGGCTCTGACATCCTCCTCATGCTCCTGCCTCAACAGCTCCTGCAGATTGGCTTTTTCCTCACTGAAACTCATCTGTAGCTTGTTCTTCTCGTCGTTATATTTGCAGTCAAGCTTTTCCTGCTGTTCCCTGAGTGCTGCTGCCTCTCCTTGCAGCTCTGCAATTTGATTTTTAAGGCCAGTTATTTGCTTTTCCATGACATGCATCTCCTCGGTGTACTTTTTCCTCATATCCTCTTGCTCCTTTTCACAGTGGGTTTTTGTCTCATCTAGCTGCTTTTTGTAATGGCTCACCTGCAAAGAGATCAACAGATTGGATTGGTTCATTTTCTACAGAATGTCCTACAGAGATGTTTCCTCCCTGTTTCTGTATTACACAGTTCCGTATATTCTACAGAATATTTTGATTTACACATTATAATCTTACATTGATTTCCACGACAAAGAATGCTACCGTGCTCAGCTTGATTTCTTACTAGCATAAAGAGGATTATTATGTAGTAGCCAGTGAAATTCATGCTTTTCCATTAAGCAAATTTAGGGGGGAGGGGGTGGGGAAGAGAAGCAACTAGCAATTTTCAAGTCCTGAATCAGCTTTGCAAATTACAGCTGGGCTCTATTTCATAGAATCACAGAATGGTTTGGGTGGGAAGGGACCTTAAAGCCCACCCAGTTCCACCCCCTGCCATGGGCAGGGACACCTTCCACTAGACCAGCTTGCTCCAAGCCTCATCCAGCCTGGCCTTGGACACTCCCAGGGATGGGGCATCCACAGCTTCTCTGGGCAACCTGTCCCAGTGCCTCCCCACCCTCTCTGGGAAGAATTTCTTCCTGATATCTAATCTAAACCTCCCTGATTTCAATTTATACCCATTACCCCTTGTCCTATCACTACAGGCCCTTATTTCACTGATTACTTTTTCCAAACCTTCCCCAAATGAACAGCCAGATGAAGTCTTTCCCTTTAAAAAGGTTTTTTGGGGTTTTTTCTTTTGCTTGTTTGAGGGTTTTTTCTAAGTTAATTTTAGGTGTGGGTTGGTTTTTCCCTTTTCCCACTCCCATCCCAGCTTCATCCCACTACAGTTTCAGCAAACCTGTGTTATGCCTTACATGCAATGAAAAGGTTCTAGTTTTAACACGCCTCTACTGCCATAACCATCTTTTATCAGGAGGTGGGCACTGCTCTGACACATGCCGTGGAAGCCTGATGGGACCCCCCCAACTTCTGGTCCTGAACCAAATGCCATGGAACAAGCCTGGCCACCTGTACAGCAGCACCCCTCACCTGTGGAACAAGGGGGGGGTCTTACTGGCTTGGGAACACTGTGACCCCGACCCGGTGTGGGCCAGCAGTGGGGGTTGTGCCATGCCCCGACCTGTGCTAGCTCATCCTTGCACCATGGAGTGGAGCTGCCCCAGCATCGTAAGCCCCTCCAGAGCCAAGCTTTCTCCACTGAGAGCCAAAGGAGGTATTTCTGCATGGTGCCAAGATGGGGAAGGGCCTGGAGCACAATTCCTGTGAGGAGCGGCTGAGGGAGCTGGGGGTGTTCAGCCTGGAGAAGAGGGGGCTCAGGGCAGACCTTATCGCTCCCTACAGCTCCCTGACAGGAGGGTGCTGGGAGGTGGGGTGGGGGGCAAGGTTGGTCTGTTCTCCCAAGGGAGAAGTGACCAGACAAGAGGAAACAGCCTCAAGTTGTGCCAGGGGAGGTTTAGATTGGGTATTAGGGAAGTTCCTTCCCGGAAAGGGCTGTCAGGCACTGGAAGGGGCTGCACAGGGAGGGGGCAGTCACCATCCCGGGAGGGGTTTCAGAGCCGTGTGGATGTGGTGCTCAGGGACATGGGTCAGTGCTGGGATTGGCCGTGCTGGGACAACGGTTGGACTAGATGGTCTTAAAGATCTTTTCCAGCCTAAAAGATTCCGTGATTCGAAGATTAATCTGCAGACAGATACAGAAAATGGGGACCTACTGCCCATTTTCTGCAGCACAGGTATCACAACAGCAGAGCTGCCACTCTCCCCCAGCACAGATCACCTTTCAGCCCCACCAGTGACACAGCATCCTGCCAGCAGCCTTTCAAACCCACAGTCAGCCCAGGCCAGTGGGAATGAAGTGGCTAATCCAGATGCAGCAGGCTTCAAGATGGGAAATGCAATGCTGCCTGGAAAGGCTCACCCCTCTCAAAAGCTGGTGGGCATCACGAGGATGCAACATGCAGAAGGAGGAGGGAAGGTAGAAGCTCAGTTTCACTGAAAAGTTATTTCACTAGGCATTAAAAGTCCTTCAGAACCTTTCCACCTGTATGAAGATGCTGGAAAAGTTTTGTTTCAAGTTAAAATAGCTTACAGTGTCTTCAAGCTCCTGTTTGAGCTGATGTAGATCCCTGTGGTGTTGCTCCTTCATTTGCTCAATAGCCATTTCTGCCTCTATGCTCATATTTAACGGGTTGCAGTCTTCTGAACCAAGACCTTTAAAAAGAGAATTAACGTATTCTTAAAGCCCAAAGAGACACGTTCTCAACAGAATTATTTCAACAATTTAAATCTCTTTACGCAGCTAGCTGCAGCTCTCAGATTCCCCTCACACATGCAGACAAGAAACTGCAAACTTTAATTTCAGCTTGAAATACTGTTCAGCAGCCAGATTCCACTTAATGGGAAACAGCAAAAATGGAGGTGGTGGTTGAGTCTCCCCCCATGAGGGTTTGGGAAAGCTTTTACACAACTGCCTCTGAGATGTTCTCATCAATACCCTCAGTGCAGAAGATGGTTGTCTGTGCTCTACCTTGGTCAGGCTCAATGCCACTGTTGCCGTGATTTTTCATATCAATATCGAACTCTTCCGACAGGGAGTTTTTCAGTGAAGGTCTGAGCACTTTTCCCTGCGCACGGTACTCCTCCAGCTCCGAGTGCAGCTCGTCGATGTGGTCTTGCAGCTCCTGAGGGAGGAGAATGAGAAGCCTGAGGAAAAGCAACCGCGGCAGCTGAGCATCTGTACACCAACCCGCTCCCACGAGGAGACGTGGAGGAGGGAATTACAGTAGGTAAAGACTTGTCAATAATCCTGCCATCAATAATCCTGCCATCATGTCATGGTCAGTCATCCTCCTATCAGCAAAAATCCATCCTCCTCTGGGTTCCAACCTGTTCACCTGACACATCCTTCCTCAGACTGAGAGCCTCTATATATTCTGCCTCTGAAATATCTCATGCTCCAGGACCTTTCATGTTACTCCTTCTTCCTCCAACCTTTCTTAAACAGCAGCTGAGGAACAATTTTCAAACAGCTGAGAAATACCTACCCAAACACCATCTACTTGAAAAATTGCATCGGAAGCAAGAGATCAAATTAGGAAAGAGATACCCTCATTACTGCATTTACCATCTGGTACTTCTGCCCACTTGCCAGAGGAGTAGCTCGAGTGTTTGTGCCAAATGCCATGCACTCAGCTCAATGAACAGTGTTTATTGAGGAAAATTAATCCCTGGATGTGTCAACACACAGTTCTGCAACTTGGAAAGGTTCAGAGAGCCGATTCATATCTGGCAGTACCAAAAAAAAAAAATCAATTGCATATTTGAACAACTTCTTAAAGTATCAATTCAGCAAATATTTCTAGAAAATCTTTGCTTTTAAACTGCAGCTTCTTAACAGAGCTGCTGTGTTGTTTCAGGTTAGACAGCCTTTTGCCAGGGCAGCTCTTTATTGAATGGAAAGGATCATCCAGGAGAGAAGAGCTAAATGCTCATAACCACAGTAGTCATCCGAAAACAGATATGTAAATAGACACTTGCTGGCCCACCTTAAAGTAGTACTTGCCATACAAGATTTGGGGAGGAGAAGACTAGCTTTACAGTTTTAGTTTTATTTTAAGAACATACTACTGTTCTGGAAGCCACCAAAACTCTGACTTACCTTATTTGTGTTGTCAGTTCCTGCATTTCAAATTAGAATTCAACATCAACTTTGCCCTACCTTGACCTCTACATTCGTAAATCAAAAACCCACTAGTGCGCAACTCTGCGGGGAGCTGGGCTGGGTGTACGGCTGGGGAACGGAGGAGGCTCCGGACACCATCCCAGCCCACCTGTGGGGCACTGCATCCTCTTAGCTCAGCCAGTTGCCTCTGCCGCAAGAGCCTTCCACCCCCCAAGAACTTGGATTAAGGGAAAAAAGCCATTGCATGGGAAAAAACAGTAGTGCTGCACTGCTGCTCCAGGCTGCTGCTGGTCAACGGGGGCAGAGGGTTTCCAGGCCTCCAGCCCCGGGCTCCGCTCACTCCGCGCTAGCGCTCATACTCACCCTGCACTGCCGCTCGTACTCGCTTCTCATCTGCGCCAGCCTCTCCTCCTGCAGGAAAAACTCCGCGCTGCTAGGATCCAGGTCGCCGAACTGCAACGGCACGAACGGGGAACACTTACCCTCCTGCCAAGCAGCCCTGCTCATCGCAGCCTGGGTGCTGTTCACCAGCAGTCCTGCAGCCTTCTCCCCTCTGTTTTATTAACTACAGCAGCTCCGCTTCCCTGCTGACAGCGGGACAACAGGCGACCTCCCCAGCAAATACTGGCTGCTGCCTCACCATAGCTCCCATGCTAACCTTATTTCACACACCACAGCTTTCTAGCTTAGCGTGTGCACATCTCAGTTGGACAAATAATCCCAATTTTCTTCACTGAGAGGGTGGGGAGGCACTGGGACAGGTTGCCCAGAGAAGCTGTGGATGCCCCATCCCTGGAAGTGTCCAAGGCCAGGCTGGATGAGGCTTGGAGCAACCTGGTCTAGTGGAAGGTGTCCCTGCCTGTGGCAGGGGGGTTGGAACTAGATGGTCTTTAAGGTCCCTTCCAACCCAAACTATGCTGTTGAACTGCAAAGTTGATGCTCTGAGAATCCCAGTATATAGAATCATGGAATCTTTCACATTGGAAAACACCCTTAGGATCATCAAGTCCAACCCTTAACCCAGCACTGCCAATCTCACCACTAACCCACATCCCTGAGCACCACATCTATAAAGCCCTTAAATCCATCCTGGGATGGTGACTCCACCACCTCCCTGGGCAGCCTGATCCATGAAGAAGTTTTCCCTACTATCCAATCTAAACCTCCCCTGGCACACCTTGGGGCTGTTTCCTCTTGTCTTGTCACCCGGGAGAAGAGACCAACCCCCCTCTCAGATTTCCCCCTGCAGAAATCCCTGCAGATCTGCGGGATGATTGCTTCGCTGTCACCTCCCTGCTGTTAATTAATATAAAACTACAGCTAAGATGAAGTATCTTTAATTTCCTTAACAGGAAGTCAGGCAGTCAGGCAGTCAACAAGGCAGGCTGTGCCTTGGTCACACCTGGATAGGGACCACAAGAGCCTCCGGCTATTAAACTGGCAGCTCGAGTGCAGTCACTGAAAAGCAATTTACTTCTGGAAGCATACCAAGAAAAGGAGGATTTACCTTCTCAGCCAGGACGTTTTCCAAGTTCCTCTGCAGTTTGCTTGCCAAACTTTCATACTCAACCAGTTTTTCTCCTGTTTCCAATAGCTCACTTTCCAGGCGGCTGTTTTCCTGGACAAAACACACCCCCCCCACCGCCAACAGTCTCAGCATTTGGAGAAGGAAAACGTGAGCACATGGTAACTCATTGGAAAAGAATAATCTCCCAGTCAAGTCCAAGCGCGACACCACTACAAGCTTCGGCCGAGGAATTTGTTACCCACGGATGTACAACCCCCTTGCCACGGCAAAATACAAACAACATCAAAAGTTGCTAAGACAACACCATTAGCATCAACATTTTCTTGGTTTAAGAGACTTTAAAATATTATATGTAACTAAGCTGTCAGATTCAGAAGAAGGTTGTAAACTGAGGTGGTTTCTAAAAAAAAAAAAACAACGTTGGAAAAGGATGTGAGCCTGTGGGGTCATGGGTGAGCGATACCGTTGCATTAAATAGCAGAAACTTTATCCAAGGGCATACAAGCGAACTTGCTTTAGAGTTTATTTTTTAAAAAGCAGTATTTTAAGCTTCATTAAGACCTTTTATCTCCTGGCTGGACAGCCAAACAGCCATCAAGGCAGACAGCCCACCCAATAGCTGTACACGTGCATGTGATGGCAGCAGAGACTGGAAATGGAGCCTTACAAATCCAAGGAGTAACCTATCGGGGTGACCCAAAAAACCCAATTCTCACACATACAGCTCTCTCTTACTCCTAAAATTACTTTTGGGTAGCTCAACATGTGCTGCAGTGCATCTTCTCAACAAGGACTGCGTTGCAAGCACTGCTCCACACTTCGGGGCACCCCTGCATTTTGGGGGAACATGCCAGCTGCGTTTAGTCCCCGTTACCTTCAGGGAAAGTGCCAGGCGGTCCCGGATGTAGTTCTCATCAATTTTCAGCTTTTCTATCTCCTGCTCCAGCTCCAGCCGCTGTTTATTGGCCTGATGCAGGATCTGTTCCCGCTCTCTCCGGAGCTCGTTCTTTAAAGCTGCAATTCGTTCCTTGTACTCCTCGTCCAGCTTCCTACGAGGGCATCGGAGGTGAGGGCAGCTCGTAAGAAGAAGCAGGCGGCAGACACCATCACAAGTGAAGCCACTACCTCTACCACGCAGCCCCTGCGATGCCACAGCAGTGACCCCAAAGAGAAGGGGAGTGGGTGAAGCGGACACCGTACCTGAGGTTGTACTCGTTCCGGCGCTCAATCGCAGCGTGGTGGTCATCCACTTCGGAGGCCATCAGGGATTTCAGCTTCTCGGCTTTTTCCAAGTCCGACCGCAGCTTCTCTTTCTCTCTGGCCACTTGATCAACCCTCTCCCTAGGGTGAGCACAGCCGTCCTGGGTTAGGGCACCCCTCCCCACTCCCCCAAAGGTACTTGCAAGTGGTTTGTCAGAGAAGAACAGCTCGGAAAGCTCTTCAAGGTCATGTATCAGCTACATCTAGTCACTAGATCTTGCACACACAGCTCCAGACCTGTCTTGGCATCCCCATAGCGCCCAAGACCTCAACACATGAGCTCCTCAACTCCTAGCCCCTCAACTTGTGGTGCTGTGCTGTTTTGCCAGGCCACTTTCTGCCCCATTTACTCACTCTCATAATTTTATGACCTTTACCGCTACACTACACCCAATCTGGCTTTGATCACAAGTTGGTAAGACCTGCTGCACTGAGCAGCTCTCTTGATGGGAACCTGACAACAATTCTCTCCAGTGAGCGAACCTAAAAAGGTATTTAGACACATAGATGCAAACAGACGGCGGGAAGCCTCATCTTGTGAGGTCCCACACAAGCGAAGCAGGCCGCTTGCAGGCACGAGTGGTAAACCAACGAGTAACAGGACACATGCAGTCTCCCTGACCAACCAAAGTCATCTTTCATATTGCACGGAGGTGGGTGTGTAAGCTGATAAATACCTAAACTATTCGAGGATATGTATTCGATATCTATATATTCAAGGATCATGGGGCAGATAGAATCATAGAATGGTTTAGGTTGGAAGGGACCTTAAAGATCATCTAGTTCCAACCCCCCTGCCATGGGCAGGGACACCTTCCACTA